GCTCCTTGGTGATTCATAAAATGCAAATCAGCGGCTGCTAATTTTTTTAAGTAAAAGAAAAGCAGATCAAGGAACACAAAATAAATCACAGTGACCCCTGACGTTATATTGAGATCTTACGAAGCAAAACAATCAGTCTGTGCAAGAAACTGAACATTATTTACAGCATCATTTTTTGTAATCCAGAGCCTCGGGCAAAAGGGGAAATATGATTCTTTTCCGCGAACTGGTTCTTTTGGACAGTTTGATTCAATGAACTGGTTCAGTTCACAAGTTCGTTTAAGTAATCACGCAATGACGTCACATTCGCAATTATATTAATAAAGCACCCAATAATGATGCGAAACGTAGATGTTTTACATGTCTAAAGCATATAAAGTGAATAAACTAGTCTTAATCAACTCACCTTTTTACATAAACCTTGAGAAACCATAAAACGTTAATTTCTCCCCTTCATTCAAGCTCTCGGTTCACGCGTGCACAGATCAGCGGCTCATCAGTCTTCAGTCCGAGTCGAACCGTTTGCTCAGTTCAGTGTCTGTTGGAGGAACCGAATCAGTTCATTCATCACAGAATCAGATACGCTGCTATTTCAGCTCATTTCCAGTCGCAGTGACTGTCAGGCGTCTGAAAGTGAGTTCTGATTGAGTAGCTTGTAGATCTGTGCTGCTCGAGACACGAACTGATTCAGACGATTCAGTCCGATTAGATGAACTGGTTCAAATAGTTCTCTAAAAAAGAACCGGTTCAAAAGAATGATTCGTTCATGAACAGGACATCACTCCGGACCGTTTGTCTGAAGCTCTGGATTACAGTAATAATGCTGTAAATAATGTTCAGTTTCTTGCACAGACTGATCGTTTCGCTTCATAAGACCTCACTATATCATCAGGAGCCACTGGGATTTGTTTTGTGTTGCCTGTTTATGTGTTTTTCACTCTCAAAGTGCCGGTAGCCATTTATAAATCACCAAAAACCACGGTTTCAGCTAAAATCTTCTTTACTGTTCCACTGAAGAACAAAAGTCACCTACATCTTGGATGGCCTGAGGGTGAGTAAATTAAGAGTAAATTTTCATTTTTGGGTGAACTGTTTTTTTAATGCATTGTGCCGCAGCCGGTGTCTGTCTGTAATGTGTTTGCGTGCGAGACGCCTGACGCTGCTCGCATCACTTCCTGTTGCTGAGGAGAAATGTGTCCCTGCAGCACAAAAGCAGTGTTAAGTCGCTGGGGTATATTTGTAGCAATAGTCAACAATACATTGTATGGGTCAAAATTATCCCATTTTTCTTTTATGCCAAAAATCATTGGGATATTTGGTAAAGACCCTACTGTAAATATATCAAAACTTAATTTTTGATTAGTAATATGCATTGCTAAGAACTTCATTTGAACAACTTTAAAGATGATTTTCTCAATATTTAGATTTTTTTGCACCCTCAGATTCCAGATTTTCAAATAGTTGTATCTCGGCCAAATATTGTCCTATCCTAACAAACCATACATCAATGGAAGCTTATTTATTCAGCTTTCAGATGATATAGAAATATCAATCTGGTTTGGTGGTCCAGGGTCACAAATGAGCAGAATTGCTTCAGGAGAGAGATTTCAGAGTCCCACACACGTGTGAAGCCAGACAGCAGCGCTTCCACTTATTTTCACACAAGAGTGCCATCAAATTTGAAGGGCTTGTTGTTTTGGGCTGGAGAAGGTTAGACTGGGAATCACAGGGAATTAAACGATTCTGGTTCTGATTCCAGACTCCTTTAGTTGTTATGAGGCAGCAGAGATCCTCCTGACTATATAGTGCACTAAAACAACACACATTTCCAAGTGCTCATATCATGAGGAACCTCAGTGTGAACATCAAGCAACATCACTGTCTCTTCGTAGTCTTTAAATGCTTATTCCACTGCAAACGCTGAAAACTCCATCATCTTTTACTAAAGTTTTGAGAAATGTTTTACTCCAGACTCTGGAAGTCAGTGCTCACTAAAACTGTCTGATTACCAGCGTTCTTCAAAATCTCTTCCGCTGAAGAAAGAAGGTCATATAGGACTGTGGGAGAAAAATAATGACAAATGTCTTTGAAGCAAAAAAGCAGCTTTCTCTACCAAAGGAGATTTTAATGCTATTTTACCCGACGCTGATATACAGA